TAATTTATTAGAATTGAATTAAATAACCTACATGTATAAATATTTATTTAAAATTAAATTAATTAAGTAAAATAAATTATTGTTTATTTATGAAACAAATTTTGTGAAGTAGAATTTCTGGGTCAAAAGATTATTTTTGATCATTTGTTCAGAAATATTTTATCATATGTATTAAAACAATTTCTATTCTGGTCAAGTAAATTGAACAGATTTTCTTTGCAATCTTGTAGAAAACCAGTAGATGAAAATCTTAATGAGAGAATTTTTATTAAACTTTATGGATTGCTATTTTTGTAGCTTAAAATAGCTAATATCTATAATTTTATACGCTTCAACAGAGCTTAGAAAAGTGTCACTTATATTCTTAGAGTATTAAAATTATGAATATTTTAGATATTTTCTATTTATATTTGTGATTTAGCACTAATAGGATTTTCTAGGTTAATGTCATTAATGTTACAATAATAATGTTGCTGTTTGTGTAAGCTTGTATATTAGGACTGATCTTAACTCTGTAGAAAGTAAAACCCATTCAGCTTCTGTGGACAAGAACTTCGTGGAATAATATGTTTTTTGTAAGTTATGTAGTTTTCATGATTTTGTAATTGAAAAAAAGTATGCCATAGGACCAAATTTTTGTTTCTGTAGCTCTATATTGAGCATTAAATCTAACTGGAACCCCCAAATAGAATGGAGATGAGCTGAAACAGTTTTTTTCTCTCTTGAAAATGCACAGTTTTTATATTTTGTGTTAGGGTACTCATTTAGGTTAGTAACAAATTTCATAAAGGAAATGCCAACAATTATATTAAAATTTTATCTCATAATGAAAAGAATGGAAATTAAATAAGATGCCATCGTTGATTAACCAAATTGGTAAACTTGCTAATGTTCAATATAGGTAAGATGCTATGAAGGTGGCTCTGGTACAGGTTGCAATAGGAGTGGATTCTGGTGTAGCCTTTCTGTAAAGCAGTTTAATGACTGCTTATCAGGAACATTAAATATATTCATACTTCCTGACCTACGACTTTCATTTCTGGTATTCTGTCCTGATGAAACAGTCAGAGGTGTTAAGTGTTTGTAAGTTAAACTATGAATATACATTATTTAAATTCTAATAGTAAAAGAATGGAAGCAAATGTTCAGCAGTAGAGGGACATTTAAACACCTTATCTGTCTATCTCATGGATATGCTCTGTAGCCATTCAAGTTTGTATTCTCATGAAATTAGAAAATGTTTATGATAAGATGTTAGTTATGAAAAGTCTGAAAAAAAATGTTTGCGGGTGAATTATATATTCTGAATTTTTTGCTGTTCTTGTCCTTTTCTGTATTTAAATTTTTTTTCATAGTAAAACTATTATATGTATCTGTTTTAGAATAAGAGGAAAGTATGACCAAAAAAATGACATTTTTAGTGTGCATAAGGTTTTCCTTGAAAGATTTTAAAAAATTTGTAAAAATATCATTGTTTCAAAACTCTATTTAATAAATATTTTTAATTCCTATTATTTTACTTAGTACACAGAATCCTCTCTTTGTAGTTATGAAGACCCTGCAGTCTGGTAAAAGAGCTGATGAAAGCATAAAAGTAATATTAGTAGGAAATAGGATGTTATTACATTTATGTAATAAGAAGGATGAAGTGATCAGAGGATTCTGAGAAGTTAGGAATTGTATTCAGTGAGGACATGTAAAAAAACTGATAAAAGAAACAAATTCTGAAAGACCTTTAAGAATGGATAGGATTTTGACAAGTAGATATTGGGGAAACTAACTGGGAAGAAAATTCTAAGTGGTATAAGTATCAGTTCAGTTCAGTTCAGTCGCTCAGTCATGTCTGACTCTTTGCAACCCCATGGACTGCAGCACGCCAGGATGCATGGGATCACCAACTCCCAGAGTTTACTCAAACTCATGTCCATTGAGTCGGTGATGCCATCCAACCATCTCATCCTCTGTCATCCCCCTCTCCTCTCACCTTCAATCTTTCCCAGCATCAGGGTCTTTTCAAATGAGTCAGTACTTCACATTAGGTGGCCAAAGTATTGGAGTTTCAGCTTTAGCATCAGTCCTTCCAGTGAATATTCGGGACTGATTTCCTTGATGATGGACTGGTTGGATCTCCTTATAGTCTAAGGGACTCTCAAGAGTCTTCTCCAACACCACAGTTCAAAAGCATCAATTCTTTGGCACTCAGCTTTTGTTTGAGCAAAAACCCAGCCTGTGTTATATGTGGAGAAATTCTGTTCGGGTAAAATGCCATAGTGATTTGAGGGAGAGAACCAAATCAGGGATTGATACTGCATTAGTAGGGGTTTAAATGCCCATATGGGGTTGGTACATCATTCAATGGGGCTTCCCAGGTGGCGCACTGGTAAAGAATCCACCTGTCAATGCAGGAGATGCAGGTTCGACACCTGGGTCAGGAAGATCCCCTGGAGAAAGAAATGGCAACCCACTCCAGTATTCTTGCCTGGAGAATCTCATGGACAGAGGAGCCTGGCAGGCTACAGTCCAGGGGGTCACAAAAAGTCAGACGCAATTGAAATGACTGAGGATGTACATCATTCAGGAGGTGGGCAGCAGGGGGATTTAGGTTCTTGGAGAAATGACATGATAAGATCTGTGCTGGGTAGCAATTAGTATGGCAGGGCGCCCCAAGAAAGACTGACAGTAGGGGGTCTAGTTGTAGCCGTAACATTATTCGAGGAAACACAGAGTGATTGGAGGAATTAAAAGAAGAGGAGGACTGTGGGAAGCATGTGTAGATCTTATAGGACTTTGAAACTCGTCAGATGTAGGAAGAACAAGGGAGAGAAAATAGTCCAAGTTTGGTCCAAAGCTTTTGTGCCTCAGTAGCTCTGAAGTCAGAGAGAGGAAGTGATCTGGGGAGCAAAAATAAAGAAGTTAAGCACATTCACTTTTGCATTTGAGCAGCTCATCCAGGTTGTGTGTGTGTGTGTGTGTGTGTGTGTGTGTGTGTGTGTCGTTCAGTCGTGTCCAACTCTTTGCGACCCCATGGACTGTAGTCTACTAGGCTCCTCTGTCCATGGGATTCTCCAGGCAAGAATACTGGAGTGGGTTGCCATTTCCTTCTCCAGGAGATCTTACTGACCCAGGGATCAAACCTGGGTCTTCTGCATTGCAGGTGGATGCTTTTTTTTTTTTTGAAACAGTCTGAGCTACTCGGGAAGCCCAATTAGCCTAAAAAGAAATGCAACTTTTCTTAGAGCTTTATTAGGTACTGTTCCTTGCTGATTACTGGAACGTTACAGCTACGGATAGTGTCCACTTTGTGGTGGCGTATCTCATCACGAATGAGTAACCATTTGAGTTAACAAGCATTGAGTGATGCCTGTCACTTCCTGCACACTTTATAGGCAGTAGATATATAAAGATGAAAAAGACTTGGTCCTGTTCTTATAGTAGTTATCATCTAAGAGCACTGAAAACAATATGCAACATTATTTTTGGATTTCACACAAGAATCCCAGCTTCAGGGCAGGCATTGCTTATTTATTCGTTTGGTTGCACTGTGTCTCCGTTGCTGCCCCTGAGCTGTCTCTAGTTTTGGCGAGTGAGGGGCGCACACATTCACTCATTGTGGTGCGTAGCCTTCTCATTGCAGGAGCTTCTCGTTGCCCTGGGCCCTCAGGCTTCGGTAGTTGGCAGCACAGGGACTCAGTAGTCGCGACTCATGGGCTTAGTTGCTCTGTGGCATGTGGGATCTCCCCAGACCAGGAATCAAAGCCACATCCCTTGCATTGGCAGGTGGACTCGTAACCCCTGGACCACGAGGAGAGAGTGCCGTGGCAGGCGTTATTACTGGTGTGCCAGTGAAGGCATTTGTGATAAGAGCAGTGTCATCGTTGTTGTCAAAGAGATCAAAAAAGATGGAGTCGATGCATAGCTTATTTTGTGTGTGAGTGAGTGAATTTCAAAGCCATATATGAATCCTTAAACTAGCTTGAATGTGAGGAAATGAGACTCTGGAGTATAATCTAGTGATGACAGAAGGTTACCTAAGAAAAAGCCACAGGAAAAAGTTAAAAACCACAATGTTCTGAATTATAAAAATGGGGTAAGACGGTAAACTAGATCGTTGGTAGAAGATGTCTGAGTATCCTAGGACTACCTATTATGACAACTACCCTTTATAGCATTTACTCTCTGCTGGGCACCATGTGGGATATTTATGTTATTTATTGAGTTCCTTTAAATGAAATGAAATGCCAAGGAGAGAAAGAGTTTTTGGATGCTTCCGTTAACTTTTTACACATATAATTGACTGTCAATGATTATTTCCCCTAAAATTTAGTTGTTACATGATATTTAATAATGACATTTAAAAATGTGCTGAAAAAAACTGCCTTAATCTTGTTAGTATACAGGGTTTCATTTTTAGTGCATTATTTCCCTATTTTTGGAAGCAAAAGTATGTTCCCACAATTACTGCTTTTAAGATTTATGGATCAGACTTAACTATTCTTTCTTTTTTGTAATGCTGTTTTCTTGTCAGTAGAGCTTCGGTGGCCATGCTTGAAAAAATTATTAACAGAGCAGAACATAGATATTTCTAGAGTAAATTATATTTAAGTAGAATTTTAGCTGTGAAATTTCATATTAGTGTTTGTTGTAACCAGTTGCTCTTCAAAGGAAGAAATAGGTTGATATTTTTCAAAATAATTAATATTAGGTGATAGGCTTGAAACTGTACTCACCAGTAATAAAATATCTTATTTTATTTAGTTTCTTTTTCCATTGCAAAAATTCTATTCAAACTCTTTGTTGTCATGAATCCCAAATCCACGCTTGACTGTTCTTCCAGAAGGCATTTTTATTAAAATGCTTCTTATAGCATACTTGACATTAATGGTATCATTGACTGGTTTTTGATTATTAGAATACTTTTTTGTTTTTCTAGTGTCTTAAATATATAACCATTAATTTGGGATTCTTAAATTTTTTTTTTTTTTGGTTGTACTTGTTCACAGGTGGCAAACTCTGGTCATATATCAGTAAGTTTCTCAACAGAAGTCCTGAAGAAAGCTTTGACATGGAAGAAATGAAAAAGTCTTCAGTTGCTAAAGTTCACCTGCAACAGCCAACTTGTAGTCCCCAGGACAGCACCAGCTTTGAATCCAGAGGAAGTGATGGTGGAGCCACTCTCCAGGTTCTGCCTTTGAAGACTAGCCTTACTCCAAGCTCTCAGGATGACAGCAACCAAGATGACGGTGGGCAAGACAGCTCTCCAAGATGGCCAGACTCTGGCTCAAGTTCCGAAGAAGAATGTACGACTAGTTATTTAACATTATGCAATGAGTATGGGCAAGAGAAGATTGATCCAGGGTCTTTGAGTGAGGAAACTTTCATGAAGACTGAAAGGAATGATGTTGATACCAAAGCTATAGAAAACTTCCCAGGACAGCTTGCTACTGACAGCGACAGCCCCAGCAGACAGCTGAAGTTCTTCCCTGGAGACGATGGCCTTGAAGCAGCTAGTTCTCCAAGAACATCAGATTCCCTCAGTAGATCTAAAAACATCCCCATGGAATTCTTTAGGATAGATAGTAAGGACAGCACTAGTGAACTCCTAGGACTTGATTTTGGAGAAAAATTGTATAGTCTGAAATCAGAACCTTTGAAATCGTTCTTCGCTCTGTCGGATGGAGAGAGCACTCCCAGGAGTGTTAGTACTAGTGAAGGCAAGGTAGAGTGTATAGCTCAGGACACTATTAGCAGGGGCTCAGACGACTCAGTCCCCGTTATTTCTTTTAAAGATGCTGCTTTTGATGATGTCAGTGGTACTGATGAAGGAAGGCCTGATCTTCTTGTAAATCTACCTGGTGAACTGGAGTCAATGAAAGATGGCGTGGCAATGGGACCTACTAAGTTCACACAGACTAATATAGGCATAATAGAAAGTAAACTGTTGGAAACCCCTGATGTTTTATGCCTCAGGCTCAGTACTGAACAGTGCCAAGCACATGAAGAGAAAGGCACAGAGGCACTGAGTGATCCCTGTGGGCCTAAAGCCCATAGGATAACAGAGAAACACTACATACAGGGGGATCTTGGGATGTTATTTTTACCGGCTGTTGATCATGGTGATACGGCAGACGTGTCTTTGTTGCACAGTTCAGGGTCTAAGTTCCAAGGACTTAGCCCGGGTGAGTCACCAGGAACTGCAGACAGCACAGAAGAAAGCTCATTCCACATTTCTGACCCACTCTCAGGTGCTAATGAATGTGACGCAAATGCAGACACTTTAAAAACTGAGGAAGTCTTGCTGTTTACAGACCAAACTGATGATTTGGCTAAAGAGGAGCCCGCTATATTTCAGAGAGACTCGGAGCCTAAGGGAGAGAGTGGGCTAGCACAAGAAGGAGACAAGGAAATACATCAGATTTTTGAGGACCTTGATAAAAAATTAGCACTCAACTCCAGGTTTTACATCCCGGAGGGCTGCATTCAAAGATGGGCAGCTGAAATGGTGGTAGCCCTTGATGCTTTACATAGAGAGGGGATTGTGTGCCGCGATTTGAACCCAAACAACATCTTATTGAATGATAGAGGTCAGGAACTTTTGCAAATGCATTTCTTTTTATTCGCTGTTGCTTCCAATTAACTGAGTAGGCGTTTTATCTTGTAATTAGTATCTTCATTTCCTGTCTAGAGCTTCATTATCAGTGCAGCAAATTCACCCCCAGTAATAGCTTCTAGTACTTAATGATGCCATTATTCTTAATGATACTGTTTTTAGCTACAAAAGGAGTAATTACAGTTCACTTCTGCAGAAAATGGAAGAGAAAAATGTTTTGATTTCTCCTGTCGTTTTGTTTTTAGGACACATTCAGCTAACGTATTTTAGCAGGTGGAGTGAGGTTGAAGATTCCTGTGACAGCGATGCCATAGAGAGAATGTACTGTGCCCCAGGTTAGAGCCATCTCCTAAATGTCTCACTTGCAAAAGTAGTTCAGCAGCTCTCATTTCTTTATCAAAGTTGTATTTTCACTAGCCATTGACACTATATTGGATCTGGTTATCTCTTTAACCCTTTAAAAAAGATTATTTGGGGGATAAAATCATTATATGGTCCATAGCACATGTGTATATGTATATTTGTCAGTGTATGCTCTTAAATGGGTTTATACTGCTTTTAGAACTGGCAATGAATTTGTAGAAATGTCTTAACTTCTTAGTGTTTAAAAAGACCTTTACGTATCCTGAATCTCTTTAAAAAGGAAATTATTTATTTGACTGTATTGGGTCTTAGTTGCTGCGGCAGGCTTAGCTTTTTCCATGGCCTGTGGAATCTTAGTTCCCCTACCAGGGGTTGAACCTCTGTCCCCTGCATTGCAAGGCAGATTCCTAACCACTGGACCACCAGGGAAGCCCTCCTGAACCTCTTCAAATGGATCATTTGATTGTTACGATGTGAGAAGCACATGATAAAACAATAAAATCCCTAAGGCTAACAGTGGATGAAATTTGAAATTACAAAAAAAACAACCAATCTTGTGACTTCAGTGATGAGCCATCCTGACGTTTTAGAACAGATTTTAAGGAATTCTTTCCATATTTGATAAATTTTAGGAAGCATATTCTTCTTGTTTTGAAATAACCAAATATCTGACCCAACAGGTTTCTCTTACTGTATTATCTTTGTTTTCACAAATTAAGAGACTTATTTCTGGGGGTCTTAGGTCCTTTGCTGATAATTACAGGTCTCTTAAGCATATGAATTGGGTTTGAACTACTTTCTCTGTCATCAGTGCAGATGGGGCTGTGTTTGAATCCAAAGTTTGTTAGCCTTTTGCCTAGTGTGGGCTTCCCTCATAGCTCAGCTGGTAAAGAATCCGCCTGCAGTGGGGGAGACCCCGGTTCGATCCCTGGGTCGGGAAGATCTGCTGGGGAAGGGATGGTCTGCCCACGCCAGTATTCTTGGGCTTCTCTTGTGGCTCAGCTGGTAAAGAATCCGCCTGCAGTGGGGGAGACCGGGATTCGATTCCTGGATCGAGAAGATCCCCTGGAGAAGGGAAAGGCTCCCCACTCCAGTATTCTGGCCTGGAGAATTCCAAGGACTGTGTAGTCCATGGGGTTGCAAAGAGTCGAACACAACTGAACGACTTTCACTTTCACTTTCATCCCCTTTGAGCAGCCAAAGTTGTCTTACTCATCACTGCTCTGGCTTTCAAAGGAGGTTCAAGCTGATTGTACTGACATGATCTGCTTAGTTGTTGATTAATACAATACTTAATGCTTACTAGCAAACCAGCATTTTGTTGATGCTAACATTGTTTCCCTGCATAATGGGAAATGATTATAATTAGGATTGAAAGAGCTATATTGTTTTTAGTTATAATTTTCATTGCTAAGAATTATTTCTTTATTGGGAAATAGAAAAGTGTTTCAATATGCCAAGCAGATATCCTCAAACTATTTCCTGAAAACAATGATTTAGATTTTCTTCTTACTGTTATACTCTTCTTTTCTCTTTTGTCCCCCAAATTAGGATTGTTTAATTTTGTTTCTTCCTAAGGGCAATAGAGCATGCCTACATTTTTTTTGTTTCTCACAAATAGATAGTATTATGCTGACTTTTGATCTTATTAGTATGATTTAGTTAATGGGATAACAAAAAAATTTCATAGAAATCACTTTATTATGGTTATCTGGTTTATTTTTGACAGACTTCCCCCTTATCTAATTTGATAATAAATAGTATTTTAGGTACCAATGTATATAAGTATATATGTTAATATAATGAATTTCAAGGTTTTATTGTTGTTCAGTAGCTAAGTTGTGTCTGACTGTTTGCGACCCCATGGACTGCAGCATGCCAGGCTTCTCTGTCCTTCACTATCTCCCAGAGTTTGCTCATATTCACGGATTTAGTGTCAACATTAAATCTGGGAGGTTTTTTTTTTTTTTTTTTTTTTTTCAGTAAAACCTGTTAAATCCTTAAGTGTAGTATAAACCTCACATCAAAACCGGATGTTTGTGGAGTAGTTTAATGTTTATAACTGACTCTTTTCTTCCTATTTTTCTTCTCACTTTCTTGTTGAAAACTATCTGTAGGGTTGTACTTTGGCTTTCTAGCAGATTATTTTTCTTCAAAGTACAGACATGCTTAACATCCATAGCATGTTGACCCCCTGAGAATTCTAATATATGTGGAACAAAACCATATGACGTTCATCAGCAGGTACATACTTTCGGCTTTGTATTTGGCTGAATACAGTTTTGTGTACTGAATTTAATACAGATCGGTTTCCAAGTTCTAATTTTTAAGCCTTTTCCCAGAAATCACAATTCCCAAAGTTTACCAGCAGGTGGCAGTCTACCATTAATGGATTTTTGCTGTCATCATCTAGGTTGTCCTTCACTAACATTTGAAAAAAGCTGTTGTCTGAAGAAGGGCTTTGTTTTAATTATTTACATAAAAGAATTGCACTTTAAAGCTTTGTGAGTTACAAAAGTGTTATAGTATTGTGGCATATATTGAACAATGTGACAAGTCTCTTCATTCCTTGGACCTATTAATTTGTTTTACCAATAGGATAAAACTCAGATCAGTAATGGCCTTAATTGAAAAGTAACGCTGGTGTTCTAGTTTAGATGATTTGAAACCTAGAGTTGCAGAACTCAGAGTTAAGTTTGTGTACTCCTGCCCATTGCTTATAATGAAGGGGAATTGCATTCATAAGGAGCAAAAATTTGTGATTTACTGTTTCTTTCAAAACTGAATAGCAGTGCTGCTGATAAAAATACAAGTAGACTTTGCTCCTCTTCTCAGAGGGGTGAAAGCAGTGATAAGAAGCTAACGTTTCAATGGTTAAAATCACGAATCAGTGAACACACGGGGACATAGAGTACTAAGTTATCTTTTGATCTGCCCCTTGTAGTACTAAGGGTTTAAGTACTTCTCCCATGTCCCCCTTTCCCTCCTGTTTCCCAGCTCTGACCTTAGTATTATTGTCCAAGTAACTCTGAAGCACGCTAAGCAGCTGATGTTTGGTTAGAAAGTAAAGTGATCAGAAGATTGTGATGAGAACGACTCACTTCTGTTTAAACAGCACGCAGCCTCTCCCTCACCACTCCTCCCTCCTGGGAATCCTTATCACACATTTGTCCTAAAAACATTGTCCACCTGCCCTGTACTCTATAATATCAGCAGTGTATCTTTTTATCTTGTGGATGATGTGCCTTTATATTTTGAGAAAATTTTCCGGTAACAGATTCGACAGAAACTTGAGCAAATGCCAAACTAGCAGGGGGCCATTATTCTGCTCTATAAATAAGTTTAAAAAAGAAAACACACACAGAGAAACCTGTGAATCAACATGTTTTGGTCTAATTGAGGGGAAAAGCAAGATAGATAAATTTTGAAATGCAAATGATCACCTTCTGTTATTTAAGTATAGTTTCTGCCAACTTTGAGATCTTAGATTTTAAAAAGTCGTAGTTACTTCCACGATGTGTATATACCACCAAGGATGTCCGATGTTCACAAGTTTCTACAGTGAAACGAAGAACTTAAAAAAGTTGTCACTTTTTTATGTTAAAGAAAATAAATCCAACAACAAAAAGACAAAAACCATGGCGCTTTCTCTGTCTACATCTGTGAAAAAGCCAGCAAATAAATGGGTGCAGCTGCAGGCCCATCAAGAGGGTCTTGAGAATACGAATTCACTGATCAAACCCAGCCCTGTTTTCAGAGTAGAAGCCATTCCTTTTATATTCACTTTGTATCCTTAGATTATCCAGGATGATTCTCTAGAAAGGTTTTATTTTAAATAAACATCATTCATGGCAAATGGGTTCCTTTCATACTGTAGAAACACAGAGCAGAGTTCAGGAAAAGAAAGAGTGAAGAAATAGTCCCCAAAGTGGGGATAGATTTTACAGCGTGACAATATAAATAGAACACTATCTAGTTCACATCTGAGGAGAGTTTTAGATATTTATTAAGAGACGTCTAGACAGATTCCCCTATTTTTTTAAACTTACTCGTCTCTAATTGAGGGAGGATTGCTTTGCAGTATTGTGTTGGTTTCTGCCATGCACCAGTCTCCTGTTTTTTGTTACGAGAGATTTTAGGGTAATCTGGAGTATTACAGAAAAACTGGAGTTAATTGGTTATTCTTCTCCAGAGGGCTTCCTTATAGTTACTCTGGTTTTATTTCTGTTTATATATACATACCTACAAACACAGATTTATGTAAAAGATTTTATGTGCTTTATCACTGGAGCTATTAGCTTATCATAATACAGACTAAAATTTTTGTTACAGTATTTTAAATATAGAGAAAAAATAAAATGTCAAAAAAGCATTTTTTTTCTTTTACCAGTATTTTTTTCTTAGCGGTCTCATCTTTCATCGTAAAAAAGCAGCTAGAAAATTGTCCTAAGAATAGTAAGCACATAGAAACACAAAAGACTGGATTTGGAAGTTTAATCTAGTTTAATAAAGTAAAATTTGTTTATATGTTAGTTTTTATGCTAACATAATCACTTAAGTTTCCCATTCTAGTCCTAGTCTTAACAAGTTGATATGGTATCCTATCAGCGTGTCCTTCACCTTTATTTTCAACCCTATTATGAGCCTTTATAAATGCTTGAGATTTACATTGATATTTCTCATTGAATTCTTTTCACACTTGAGAATTTATACGTCAGTGTGTGTGTAAATTGAAGAAGTCCAAAGTGCTTTTTACCACAGCCCAATCTCCACGCTCCCAGATGTCAAATGACAGCTTTGCTTCCTCTCTTAGGCGATTTCACACTTGGAAACAGCTCACAGCTGACAGTGAAAAGTGAAACATAGAAAAACCATGCTGAAAACTATCTGCAAAATTCAGTTTTAGAGCATGACATTTATTTACTACCTCTCTTTGCTCTTGCCTGATTATTGTCAAATAATCCATGAATAT